GTGCTGAGCGCGAGTGATGAGCCGGGCAGAGCTCTCTTCGGAAGCAAGTCCGGGGGTCTTCGTGGCCTGGGAGAGATGGGTCCCAGGGGCACGAGGCCCTGGTGCCTGAAGCGGGGGTGTCTGGCAGCACCACAGCTGATGTGTGGCTGGAAACATGGGGTACAGCTGCGGGGAGCTTTGGGGGTCTGGGGCTGGGTGAGCGCTGCCGGCTCAGAGGTCAGTGGCTCACCAAAGATGTGGAGCGTGGAAGAGGTTCAGAGGAAATCCCTGGGGCTGCCAGGGGTGCTGCACGCCCAGTGAGCCCTGAACTGCTCAGTTTGTGTGTGCTTTGCTTGCGGAAGAGGAATTTGAGTTGCTTGATGGAGCAGACAAAGATGTAACAAGATCTAGTGGCTCTATGATGATGTCAGGCGAATCACGACTTGGATTAAGGTGCAAAGTCTGAGCACTGCCCTTAACTATCCATGGGATATTTTTATGTAGATTAGGATGGATGTTTCTACAGCTCCCCAGGCACTTCTGAAATGAATTCTGGATGCTTTTCCGCTCTGGGACCTCTTCTACCCAGTGTTAGGTTGGAGGTCACACTAAATGCGGTAGAACTGATTGCTTTGGACTTCAGCAATCCATTAGCTACAGTGCTGCACGGTGGGTTAGCAGTTAAGATGGAGGTAAGTGCAGGAATTATAAGAGATTAGTAGAGGAGTTCCCCAGTGTCTGGTCCTGGGCCCAGTTTTCATTAATGATCTTGGCACGCTGAAATGGATGCGCTAATGAAATTGGCTGCTTATGCAAAGTTGGGAGGCATTGTCAACAGAGGGGAGGACTGGGATATCCTATGGGAGGGGGCAGGCAATTTTGATGGCTGAGACGGTAGAAATGGGATGAAACGCAATAGTACAAAGCGTAAGGTTATGCCATTAATGGCTGGGAGCAGGCGCTTCTGTTATGAGTTGACAGTAGGGACTTCCCGCTTGGAAATAATAGCGGAGAAGAAGGGTGTAGGTGTGGTGCCGGTTCCAGTGTTGGGCCACTCGCTTTCTGCTCTGGGCATTGCTCTCTCTGGGACGAGGTGGGAAAGCTCCGTGGTCTGACGTGTGCCGGAACTGCTGCTGGTGGCTGCGAGCAGCAGCCTCTAACAGGTTGTGCGTCTTGGACATGCTGGAATCCAGCTGGGCTGAGGGAGAGCCCGACGAGGCTACTGAACGCATGAGTATCGTAGGAAATATTTCACACTTGGCAACTCTGATTGGGGTTTGACAGTCGGAGCTGGGGCTGATGTAACCCGGGCAGCGGCCGTTCAGGGACACCAAGACAGGCAAAAGCGTGGGCCTCTTCTGCCTGTCAGAGCCCCTTCCACCTTCCAGAGGGAGGAACCTTTTGTTTGAAGCTTTGCAATTGTTAGGAGATTTTTGTCCTAGAACCCGCACAAATAACAGAATATTTGCAGCTGTTTCCCTCCTCCAAAACCCTTTAGAGATGGGGTAAATACTCTGAGGTGCGTGGAGAAAAAAAAATAGCAGAAAAATGAAATGGAGGTGCTGGGAGCTGCCAGCGTGCTGCTAGCGTGGAGCAGGCTATGGCAGCAGTCTCCGCCAAGCACTTCGCTTCCCAGTGGAAGCTTAATGTTCTCAACGAATCAGCCCACATGGAAATCAGGAGTCTGGCTGGCCGCCTGATGTGAGGACTGGGTGAGGAAGAAAGGCGCAGCGCTGTGTCACTGGTTACTACTGGAATTGCCCTGCATCACATAAATCCTACTGCTGCTGGAGAGCTGCTTAACAAAACCTTTGGCCGCTCTGAATAAGTTGGTCATTGTTCTCCCCCGCAGCCGTGCTACCATGTGGGCTTCCCACCATAGCTGTAGCTTTAACTACGCGTGTGTGCCCTCGCTCTAAAGGTGGTCTAGGACCAGAAGCATGTGGGAGTGCTCAAGTGTGATTGCTTTCCCAGGCTCTCCCGGCTTTCTTGTGGGTGGAAGGAGGACCAGACACAAGCTCTATTCATAGGTCCGGTCAAGGAGTCATCAACAGCAAACAGAACTAGTGGGGGACTCTGTTAGTCCTACCCTGCCTGGTTGGGTTTGGGTTGAAACCAGATGGAGAGCGTCCATGCTTAGGTGTGCGAACTTGTCCGTGAAAGGAATGCTTGCGTAGTTCTTACTTGCTGCTCAGCTGCGAGGGGGTGGCAGCAGTGTGATTTATGGTGAGGACAGAACCGAACAAGTAGGGCAGGCTGCGAGCTGAGAATACGCCTGAAACCGTGCACTGGGAGAGGGGAGCTCTGGCACCTCAGACCTGAACTGGGCAGGAAGCAAGCACAGAAAATGGCCTTAGACAGCCACAGCAGCACCCGGCGTTTGCCCTCTCTTGTTCTTGGTTGAGCAGGGCTGCTCTAGGCCCAGGATCAAATGCTGCCCGCGGCATCACCAATAGGGCAGAGGACAATTAAGCTCTTCAGAAAAGGGGACCCTGACATTTAAAGCAAGCCAGATCCCTTTTAGCCATGACTAGAAACGATGGATGAAAACTCTTTCTCCCCCATTGCCCTCCCCAAGCAGGCAAAAATGTGTCAGGGTGGGTGACAAACCCCATCCTGATGAGTGGAGGAGTCCAGAGGGACTCAAGGGCAGATTTCAGGTTTCATCCTTTCTGCACATCTCCTCTTCTCTCTCACTGAGAATCCCTGAAGTCAGAAGTCAACGTTCTGAGGCAAGGCTCGATTCCCCGAGTGCTGAAATGATTTCTTTCCCACACGTGGACCCAACCCTCCTTCAGTCAGCCTGAGACTCCTGTCACAGGGTGGGCAGCAAGCAGCATGGTGGTGTGTCCTGGGGGGGAGCTGGGTGCTACTGGGGTGGTGTTTGGGATGGGGACCCGGGGAGATCGTGAGGAGGGGCTGAGGGGGGCGGGGGGCAGTTCCAGGTGAGTGAACCCACGGCTCCTGCTGCTTCAGCATCTGTCCGTCCAGGGTGGCACCCCTGTAGGGTGGCACCCTGTGCTGTTCCTACCCGGCCTCTGGTCGGAATGCCCCGCCAGTGCCCTCCTGCTTTAACAGACATCGCTCTGGACGCTATCGCGCTCCTCTTAGGGTGCTCGTTTTCTGATCACAAAGGTCAGCTCTAAGCGTACGCTTGTAGTCGGGTGCCCTGGAGTAGCTACTGCAACCTGGGGGCCACAGTCCCCTCCGCCTCCTGGTCGCTGCACCGTCGCGGCAGCTCTTCGGAGGAGTGGGTGGGAAGTGCAGGGCCACAGTCCCATGGCCCTGGTGGTGAAGCACGGGGCTGGGTGAAAACTGCCCTCTCTAGCTGATGGACACTCGAATCTGTAATTAAAAGAGAAGAACAGAGTATCTGGAAGACTGTAATTTCATAGAGCCTAACCAGCCTGGCTTCGAAAAAAGGAAAATCATGTCTCACTTACTGAATTCCTTCAACATGTCAAGGTTTGTAAAGGGAGATAATATCTTTTATTAGAGCAATTGATATAGCTGGAAAAAACAGACAAGTTTTCAGGCACAGGAACACTTCTTGTATGGTTTTTTTCCAGCTATATCAGTGAGTCTAATAAAAAGTTATTACCTCTGCCCACAAATCTTATTTCACTTAATCCTTAGATCACGACAGTCACAGCACAACTACTTGAAAATGTCAGTAAGGAACGGAAAAAAGGAGAATTATGTGACACAATTTGTTTAGACTTCTTAAAGTTCTTCATCCAGACCCATGAGCTTCTAAAGCTAAGCAGGTACGGAGTGAGATCTGGTGCCTTTCGTAAAAGGTGTTCCCAGAAGGCTTAAAACTTTAGGGTTACACGGTCAGTTTTTGTCATGGCAAAGTGTTAACAGTGTAGTCTGTGGTGTGCTACAGTTCTTGACTGTGGCAGCAGCAGAATCGGATGGCCATTATTTAGGCTAACGAGGATGGGTGAAGAGTGTGAGGTCAGAGAGAGAAAAATACAGGCAAATGGACAAAGCACTGGAGCGCTGAATGTTTATTTAACACGTGGAGCTAAACCCAGACCTATTTACAATTAATCCATACATCTGTCCAGCCAAGAAAGGCACCGGGGGTTGTTTTATGCAGCTCAGTGGAAATCTCTGCACAACTTACGCTCGAGAGGCGTGTGTGTAATGAGCGTTGCGCTTATATTTGATCCTTGGGACTGCCTCCACCCAGTGCTCTGGGGACCGGCTGCCCCGTCTGCATCAGACACGATCAGCAGACTTGGCAAAACCCTCTGTGAGGAGACAGATCGACAAGGCTGGGATTATCTGCCGTAGCGGGAACTTCAGAAGTGTAACGAGCTGGAGAAGACAGAGCGTTTTTCCCCCCTGCCACTACTGCCATTTGAAATTAAAAACTGGCAAAGGAGGACTTACGCGACGTATTGTGCTAAGAAATCATAAAGCCACCGTTAGTCAGGTCAAGATTTCAAGATCGCTGACGGGGCTGGATGTTTGTACGGCTACCAGGAGAGCCCAGCGTTGTAAGGCATTGCCGGCTGTTTGGCAGAACACCCAGCCTGCGCCGAGCCAGCTTTTGCG